AAAGAAAAGAAAAGAAAAGAAAAGAAAAAAAAAAAGAATTTCGTTCGATGAAGCATGCAACAATTATCGTAGCAAATAAGCTTCGAAACGAATCAAAAAGCTATTTTTGTTCTCTTTTTGCAGAGACATTTTATATACACGATATACATAATGCATTACCGTTCCGTCGTTGAAATTTGAATCACAGATCATGGATAGTAGATTCTACTTGGCTATTGTTTAACTAACTCACTTGTCGTTTATTATTATCGTATGATACAAGGGGCAATCGAAAGGATCGTTGTGCGTCCTGAATCTCTAAGCGCCATCTGATTTCACGTTCTCTTCTTTCGTACGTGTTTGTTTAACGCGTGTTTTTTTTTTTATCCCATTGATCGGTGAAACGAAACATTTACATACGCAAACGTCACAGTAGCGAAAACGCGTGTATCAGTTGGCCATTATTTTTTTTTTTCCATTAGCGATATTAGCGACGCAATGTGTGCAGTTTTGCGCGACGATGGCGATGACTACGACGACGACGACGACGGTGGTGACGACGGTGGTGACGACGGTGGTGATATCAGTATTATGAATATAAAAAGACAGTGTTCATAAACGACAACAAAGTACAACAAGCTATAACGATCGATAATTATTTTGATATTATTGTTTTCAAGATGAGCACCGATATGCACCGTTGGATGCAAATTTTTACGAAATATTTCTCTCTAATTCGTCGTCATTATTTTCGGCAGGCAGTGAAGTATTTTAAAAATAATTTGGACGCAGCCAATAGAAAATTTCAAAGTAACAAACAGCTCACTTGTTGTATTTCCTATTCGAAGCTGTAAGAGACAGTAAGTAGTCGTTATCGTTTGCGATGCGAATTGTCTCGTACGATTCGATAAGTAGAGATTCCATTGCCGATTGAGAACGTTTTGCCGAGTTTCGAGCGTCAAGTTGTAACGCGTAAAGACAGGCGCGAGTAAAATCCAGAAAAAGATATATTATATCATTCGATTGTACGCATCACGTACGGATTACGTTGCTCCTCGTACGTTAATATCTCCAAATTACGTACAAACGTGCAACAATCGGACGTTTGCTTCGTCAGTTTTTATCTTTCCTGCTCCTGGTTCTAGATTCGCCAATAGTACAAATACAATTTAAAGTATAGCGTAATTTACGGGTAAGCCTGACTCAGATCGAAAATCTAGAGCCCTAGAGTCCAAACGTAGCAACGGCAAATAAGTTTGAAGAGACCTCGACTCGAGTCGAAACGAAATTTACGCCGTTAGTCGGGAAGATTGAAGATTTAGTCGATTCGGTTGTCGATCGGATCGCTGGGAATTATCGCACACAGGTCGAATCTCGAGGCCGAAGCCGATTCTTAAGCCGATTATCACAATTTTCATTGCTTATCCTTTTATTTTTATTTACGGTACGTACCGTTACCGTTACCGTTACCGTTCTCCGATACGACGATCTTCTCGTATCTACGAACACGTATAATCTCCTCGATAATGTACGACCGTGCTAGATGAGAACGAGCCACGTTTACCAGGAAAAGACTGAAAACGTACCTGAAATTTGCCTCTCCCTCGAAAATCCACGTAAAAGATTCTAAGACCACTCACTGAGTTTTAGAACAGCTAGTCTATTCCGTCTCGTCGTCTTTTCGAGAAAGAAACAGAAGAAAAAGAAGAAAAAGAAGAAAAAGAAGAAAAAGAAAAAAAAAAGAAAAAAAGCAAAACAAAGTAACAATAAAAGAACACATCGACAAGGACGAAGGAGACTAATAATTAATTAAGCGACGTAGGTGAGAAAAGAGGTGACCGATTCAAGATTTCAGCGATCCTTGACGTGTCCCGAGATGTTTCATTCACCGTATTTTGTATCAGATCGATCCATCGCCAAATCGTTTTAACGAATGTGCTAAACACGCGTATCTAGCGTAGAATAGTACCGACCGATAGAACCGACAAACTAGTACCGTAGAGAGATTCTTATCGCACCGATATATAACGTTTATTCAGCGATATATATACACAACATGCCGTTCATTCTTGCGATCATCAAAGAGAGAGAAATATCGTTTCAATTTCAATGCCGCACTGGTTGATTTCCGCAAAGACGATTCAAAGAAAGCTGCAATTGGGAAGGGATTAGAAAACAAATAGGCTCGACAGGGAGACAAAATTTTCAAAATTTCTCAAAAAGGAAATACATTTCCGCACGAGGCGGAACAGTATTGAAAAACGCCTCCTGTACATTTTCGTACGTACATTTGTTCCTGAACAATTGAAATCCTCGACAATTATTTTCGATCATGGCGTGATCCTGTCAATGTCGCGATATTTGACAATGAACGAAACGAAAGGAAGAAGAAAGAGATACGAAGCTTTTGCGAATCGCATTGCCGATGAAAGATTTGCGAATGAAAAGTGGAAA